TCCAAATAATTTGTTGAGCAAATTACAATTGGACAGAGATAATGAGAAAATAGCATTGAAAATATATAAATTGTTGAGGGCTTTATTTTATCAAAATATGATATAGTTTTTAAAAAATTAATTGTATTCTATTAACAATTTGCTTCTATAGAAATTGTGTACAGTAAGTGTGCTCAAAGTATCATGGACTTTGTACCCAGACCTCTGTGCACTACTTGGCTTTAGCTGAACTGAACATTTTGCCATGAATTCAAGATTTCTTCTAAAGGTATTAAAAATGAAGAGTCTCATTTTTAACAGGAGAAATACTGAGGGTGTTTTGAGGTAGGCTGTGTGTCTTTAATGGCTTGGTGAGATGATATTTGCAACTTCCTCTGGTCACTTCTTATGTGACTCTTTTGCATGTTGGAAGTGTGGTCATGATATTTTTGGCTCTGAGCTCGTGTTTTGTGGCCTTTCAAATGAGACAGTGTGCTTTAAACTCACTTGTGCAGATACCTGTTTGGAGTGGCTGAGAGTGAGCCAAATGTAAATGTGTAAAATGTATGTCACCCGAGGCTGAGCACAACTGTGGTGGCTTTTTCATGGCAACTGATTTCAATTTGAAGAAGGGATTTATACTCACTAGGTTATCATCTTCTGACTTTTAGATCTTCTCGAGATCTTCAGTTCAAAGATACTTAGGAATTTGCTGATTGGCGAAGGGAGAAACATGCCTGCAAATTGGTTGTCTAAGTTCCAATTCAAGAAACAAGTGTTGTATTGATTTTGAATAAGGTCCTGTTGTGTAAAGCAGTGTTTTGATTTAAAGCCACTGACAGGAATTTGTGTGTGTCAAGAGGAGCATTTTCACAAATCCAGTATGGGGGAGCATAGCCCACACTGCTTATCAAGTCGTGGATATCACAGCTCCATGGGAGGGCATTTGGGAATTAAGTTCTTGCAAGGATTGCTGCTCAAAATCTACTGTTACCTTAATCAAAGAGAATTGTACTTAATATTGAGATCAGCTAAGGTATTCAGCATTAAATCTTCCTGCATCATATGGGCCACTACCAGTTTCATTTTGTCCAAATTAAATTAGGTAAGACAGAGCTGAGGAAACCATCTACTCTTTATTTTTGGCTAAAATCAATCTTTGGATTTAAAATTTTGGTTAGAAGCTGTCTTATATTGAAGTCTCAGCACTTTATCAGGAAATAATGGGGGAGGAGACAGTTAGCAGGTCTTGCTGTGTTTGTGGCTTTTTCTAGGCAGCATTTGTGTCTATGAAGCTGTATTTTCAACAAAGGGCAGACAGACATGCAGGGTAATGGCTGGTTCAGGTGCTACTCTGAGAACCAAACCTGGGAATATCTAGGTAAGGGGAGTTGGCAGAAATTTGGTTTCTTCATGCCAAAAAAGTCTTGAAGGCTTTATTCCCATTTTAGATTAGTTTCCTTGAGTGTTGCTTAGGCTCTCTTTCATCAAATGTTCTTTTATTTTTCTGGTTGTTCTTCCATTTTGACCACATTTACTGTAATAATGCATTTCTCCCTCCCACTCCTCCTACACGACAGCCACACACAAATAATGTGTAATCTGCTGGCTTGTTTATCAACAGCACTGGTGATGATGTTTGTTCCACTTAGTTTTGGAGCTATTTTGCAATATGGGTAATACTTAAATGAGGTAAGTTTACTCAGCCTGGCCGTGACAGGCCCTGCAGCTTTCAAAACACAAAAATGTGTATTACTGGAAAGGTAACTTATGAGTGGGTTTATTCCTTGTGTGAATTTTGTTAGCATATGCTTTAATTTATTTGGCATATTGTTTCTTTTCAGGTTTCTCTACTGGGATAATGTCTGGTGATGGTGGTCATCTGTAAAATTGAACCATTGAGTTGATCTAGGCAGGAAAACCAAACCAAACATCTCCTTTCCCCTTTTCTGCACTTTTAGTCTGGCTCATCTCTGGCATTCATTTTACATTGCATTCCTACAAAATATTGCTTTGGTACAAATTAAATAAAAGTGAATTACTGAGCAAGTTTGGGTAAAATGAGTAAGGGTTTGGAAACATTAGATGCTCTTAAGCTAGAACTAGACTTGGGGAAAGAAAAAGAGAATGAGGCAAGAGCAGTGCAGGATTTAACATTTACAATAAGGATGTTTGTGAAAAGCACTTTGGAAAACATTTTGAAACACCAGTGTGATGAGTGCCTCTCTGGTTGTAATCAATTTTACAGTTAAGATTTCATTGGAATTTGTGAGTCTCATTGTTTTTCTTGAACAATGTAATTTTTTTTCATCCCCAAATATATTTTTTCTATGTGGGAAACTTGTTTCTAATGCAAATTAATACTCCATCCAAAAAAGTGCCTTTTTGACCTATTCTGGGTGTATCTCCAAAATACTTAGGGCTTGGAGCCACGATAAATTTGGTGAGTGAACACCAAGGAAATTCTGCACACTTTTTAACAAGCATTTCCAATTATTGCAAAATCCCATAAATCTGTGAGCAGGGCTGATTCTGTTTTACTTCAGGGTGTTCCTGTTCTTAAAAGCCTTGACAGAAAGCAGAAAATTTATGTAATTCTGGGCAATCCTTTACATGACCATTACAACCTTCTCTTTTACAGAGCCTTAATTCTTTGAAGTACCTGAATTTTATCCATCTAGGCTTCAGTCTGCCAGATCTAATAAAAACCTACAGCATTACACTGCATATTATGGTTGTAAAAACTTCTGGTTGTCCTAATAACGAACACTTGCATGGGGCACAATGGCTGGGTTGCATCTCTTTCGTTCAGGTTCTCAAGCGGGGATTTGGATTTTAGCTGCAAAATCTGCATATGACTAAGAGTCAGGAGACCTGCACAACGTCCCCCACCCCAGCAGTGTGAGCAGCAGAAATGCATGCTTCTGCTGCCTGGGTGTGCAGCTGGGCCACACAGGGATGTGGGACTTGTCAGCTTTTAGCAGCTTTTTCTGTGTTTCCCTGGCTCAGTGGAGCAGGGACACAGAAAACCCAGAGTGTCCTCACTGCAGCCCCAGAGAGCTCCCCATCAGGGCCCCCAAATCTGGCTCGCACTGCAGAACCAGGAAATAACACAGTAACTAAATAAATATATTTTTGTTCATTCACCACTAGTTTTTTCCTTTCCAGTTTTTCAGAATGTTGCTTGTGTCTTACACGACTCTTACCAACATGGGTGACATATTTTCGGCGACTTTTAACCTCCATCATTTTAATGTGGGCTGCAATACTGTGCCCAGCTTGGCAAATACATCTGAAACAGGTGAAATGTTAAAGTTCAGTGGCACAAACTAGAGCTGGAGTAGCAGTCTGAATTCTGTGGTGCTCTGGGTCAGTTTTGGGTTTTTTTACATTCTGCTTCCTTTTGGTCATTTTGCTTTTTTTTTTTTTTTTTTTTTTTTTTTTTTTTTTTTTTGTTGTTTCAGTGGCAGTAGAGCGTTCATTTCAGGTCAGTATTTTTCAAATTTTATATTTAGTCAGACACATGCAGGCCAAGTTCAGGCACTCCAAAATAAGGCTTAGTCCTCACTTAGTACCCAGTGTCTGCTGCTCCTGTTGAAATCAATCAAATGCAGCTTTCCATACTTCAGTGTGATTGTATAATGATTAAACAGACACTCATAAAACTCAGACAAGCTGGAATAAAGTTTCACATGAATCTGAATTGACATTTTTCTTAATAGGATCCTTGTAATTAGTGATTACCAGATGAATTTAGAATGTGTGAAATGCCTGCAGGAATTGGAATTAAGAAGGGCAGGAGATGCCAAACACCTCAGATCTTCTGCTGGCAACCTTTCACTTTAAATTTCTGCCCTGCTCATAGAGGAAGCAGCATGGTTTCTATAAAATGTTCAGCTGTGGTTTCACATTAAGTTGATGTTACCAATAAAGAGAGTGACTTGTAATTGAAAACTGATTTGCTTATAAATAGCAGGTTTAGCTCTGGATGGCTCCCTTCTTCATTTCAGTGGTCACCTTGCTGTCCTTAAGATAGGTCTCCTAAAAGATGTCAATATTCAGTTCTAGCAACTACCATAATGATATTGTTTGTTCAAAAGAGAAGACTAAGGCTTCTGGGCTCCTTTTCTGATGAACTAGAGGTGTATGAAGAAACATACCCAGGGCTGTCACCAGCCTGCAGCACAGGAGCAGAATGATTCCTCTGGATGAGGTGATGTTGGCTCACTCTTTGTACAATGTCTTCTTCCACTTGAGATGGAGAGGTGATGCCTGCTTTTTTTATGTTTGGAGTTCTAATTCAAAATCTCCAGTTTCAAGGGATTATCTTAATGTGGACTGCTTACTGTTGCCCTGTAACAGCCCTTTTCTTTGGGAGCCTGGTTTGGGATTTTTTGTCTCCCTTCTCTTTGGAAATACAGTGCTGGAGAGTAACTTGCCTGACCAGAGGGAAGCTTGTTAGAAGCTTGTAGAGTGCTTGAACAGCACACTCATGCTCAATAACTTACATGTGGCTCCTTTTCTCTTCTCTCCAAGTTATTTAGGTCAGAGTCATTACTCAAATTCTCTTAATTTTGGAGCAGTAGTTTTACTGGGCACTTCCATGACGCATAAGAATTTTTTGGACAATGTGAGGACGCGCTTGAATTCTAGAGTATGAAAAATAATTGATTCTTTTATGATGACTAATAAAAGTCCTTTTTGCAACCCTTCCAGTGTTCCTGCAACTGCTGGCAGCTTTGTTCCTTGGGTAGATTTTTGTCACCAGAGACAGAGATTGTTGTTGCTCCTGCCCTTGCAGAACTGTCCCTGACACAGTAGCAGACTTAACAGTGGATGGTGCTGGAAAGGAAGAAGTAGATTCCTGGCTTGCTTGTCAACCATTTGTAGTTTATGAAGAATAAAATAGAAATACAAGACACTGTTCTCACTGTAATTAGTGACCTAACTTTTTCCTCTTAGATTGTTGATGTTTTTACTTCCCCTTAAAAAACTCCTTTTTCCTTCCCTGTTCCTGATAGATTCACTGTGAGGAGCTCAAAATGAAGAAGAAAGATGAAGAGGATTGCATGGAGCTCTGCCCCCATCAGTGTGTTGAGATGGAAAGGTACTGTGTTAATGTTACATGGAAAAAACTCCTTTGCTAAAATTTTTTTGGGCACCTGCAGTTTCACAAGGTAGTTTCACTGGTAACACTGAGAAGTATTAAGTATGATGCAGTGAGTGTCCTCTGCTTTTCAGCTGGGGCTGCCTAGCAGGCAATGAGCTGACCTGACTTCAAGAGCTGGTTGTCCCCTGTCAGCTACTGTATGTTACATTTCCTGGCTGCATTTCCAAATGGTTTTTGTCTGCCTGTCCTGCTCGTGCTGTTAGTAGATCACTGCAAATACCTCAGCTCTGTGTGGTAGACACAGACTCGAATCATGGGCTTGATTTCCTCCAAAGGCTCAGCCCAGCTCAGCAGGGCGTTGGTGAAGCATCCCCATCCTCGCCCAGGCTGAAGTAGGAGGCAGAATGGGCTGCTTGTGGTGATGCCTGATTTGAAAAGAGTAGTGGTGTCAAGTACCAGTTAAAAATGTCAGCTCTGTGCAATTGCACTGCATCAGAGGCACGGCTTTCCAGAGGAACAAGCACATGTAAGACGTGAACAGACTGGTGAGGCTCCAGCTGAATCTGCAGGGCAAGCAGCCAGTCCAGAAGGGGCTGTGGAAGGGATATCATTCCAAAAAGGCACATACTAAAGCCAGCAAAGTGCCCTGAAAGGGGCACAAGCTTTTCTAGGCATTGATGTCCACAGAAAAATAGCGAGCACTTGAAAAACCATCTAGATTTGCCTCCCTTCGTGTCCTTTTAGCTTTCAGTTCTTTCAACACATTCCTGCCACCTCCCCACAGCTTTCTGCATGTGTGCCTTTCAGTGGGGGAGTTCAACTGCTCAGACAGCACGTGCTGCTTGGTGGCTCTGTTTGGCCAAGCTTTCCAGCTGATGGATTTTCATGGCAAAAAATCAATTCCCTTTCCACTGGTGATCCACACGCAGCTACTTGAGGCCTTGGGGCTGAGTCTGGGTGACAGTGCCCGACTTGCTGCCTCTCCAGGGAGACAGTTGTCTGCAACTCACTCATGGCTCATTTGAAGCCTGAGAAAGTTGGTGGAAATAATTTAATTGTCTTTTCTGAGGTTTGAAGGCAGCCAAAATGTTGTCCATCATGAAGGCAGTCAATATTAAGTGGAAGATCCAAGTGAAAGGGGGATGATGCTGTTTCCCTGACATACAGGCTGTATGGAGTACAGGAGTGAGGCAGCAGCATGGAAACTTCCCAAGGGACAGGAATATCCAGGCATAGAGGGAAAAAGTAATGTAAGTTAATAACATCATAAGTATAATAACATACATAAGTAACATCATTTAATGCAAACCAACAGCCATGGTCTTCTTGCATGTTGCAAATTTCCTGAGGGGAGTAGTGAAACACTGAGACACTGAGTGCCTGTATATCAGTAGCTTTCCTTCTCCTCAGTGAGCTGGGATGGATTATAGGTGCTGCTTCACTTAATCACTGGGGCCCCCTTTTTGGTTTTCTATTTTTTTTTTTTGGCTTGTTTTCAGAGAAAACCAGATGTGTTTCCATTAAGAACATGCCCTCCTTTTGTTGTCATTTGTGTAATTCTTAAAATTAAGCAAAAGTATTAAGGAATAATTGTTTCTGCTCACATTAACAGCACACAGCTTCTCCAGATGTGGCATTTGACAGCCCAACAGCTGCTGGCTATTAAATGTGCCTTAAAAGGCCCATTCCTTTGTCATAAAGGGAACAGAAGTGTAGGGACGTTTATGGGGTGAGAGGCAGATGTTTTGGCTACATCAGATTTGAGGGAAAGTTTTAAGTGTTTCTCTGCTATGGTCACAGTGCATGTTTTAACCCCTATCATACACCTTATGGAGCTCTCTTCTTGGCACTGAGGTGACATTATTCCTAATCCCGCACTGACCTGTGGGACATCTCACTCTGAAGACAGAGCAGTTCTGCCAAGCAAATCTCAGCTGATGCTTGGTTGGCTTTCCAGCTATGCTCTTGAAATACTGGATAAATTTTTGGGGTTGAAATTCAGGTTAAAATATTCAGCTAAAACCAATTTGAAATAATGTGTTGTCTTTTTTTTTTTTTTCCCTCTAAACTCTCTTTTTAAGTATCTACTCATAATAATCAAAGGCAGGTGTTCTTTTTGTGTTTGTCCCAGCACAGTATGTTTTATGCCCAATAAACTATTTTTTATGGTGGTACATGTGAGGTGGAACATGGAACGAGTGGAGCCCAATTTCAAAAGTTCTGACTCAAATTCCCAAGCCTAAACTTTCAGTGGAGTGTTGAGTACTGGAATAGCACCACTGGTCCTTAGGGAGCTGCACCACTTTTAAACTATTCTCTATCAGCTTAGAGTCTGCTAAACCCCTAAGAGCTTATGGGGCTGCACAATTTTCTTTCAGTAACAAAAGTCTTTTTGTCTTCTTGGCAAGATTTTCTTCTTCCTATTGCTTATTGGACTGGAAATTCTTTACTCTTTTTTAGTCTTAACTGGAGAAGATTTCAATATAAAAATCCCAATGTATTTGCATGGGAAAAAAAACCCAAGACTTCTACAAAACTGAATTAAAAGAGAGCAAATGTTCTGCGAAATTACATAGAACATAAGAGAATAGGCTTGTTCTACAGATAAACTGTCATTTTTAAGAATAATATCCCGATTTTATTCCTATTTTAAGTCTATTTCTAGAGCAAGTTAGATTAAATATTCCATAATTGAGTCTGATTCTTCCTTTCTCCCTCTTATTCTACAGGCCTTTTTCTGACATGAAGTCTATTATCGTAAATAAGGGAAATATTAGCTGAAGCAATTAGTCTTGAAATTTGGCACATTTTTAATTTATCTGACTAGTTCTTTCTCCATAATTCAAATGCAGAAATTTCTTTTTTTCCATGAATTTATTTCCTAGGCTTAGCCAAGCAAGAATCGTATATCCCAAATGCCCACCCAAGGGGATGAAGCACATGTTTTACCATTAAGCTCTGGAATTCATTTCCCATCAAAATATGACTCCATGGTGTTGGTGTCTGGCTGTAAATCCTGGCTTAAAGCCTTTATTTCACATTTGTTTATGGTGTGTATTTGTGCTTTCACCACCACAAGAGAATGACCCCAGCACACCAGCCTTGAAATTAATATTTAAAATAGAATTATATGGCTTTGGTATTAGTATTGTGCAATAAATGCCTCGGGACATCTTGTAGATATGTCCATTGTTACCATGTAACTGCTATGAGTAAGGAATAATGCCAGTTTCCAGTCAAAAACAGGGAAAGCCAAGAGATGCAAAACTGGGACTCTTACGGAGCTTCTACCTTCTTACTTGAGGAAATTCTAGTTTTCAGCCTTCAATCTATGCTGCTCAAACCCAAAGCATGGAGCTGATCATGTTTTGGCTCTCCCCTTAAAGTTGGAGTTGCTGTAAAAAGTATGCAACCATTTATAATCAAACAATCATTATTACTTAGAGCATGATACTATTACAAATAATATCAAAAATAAAAATAGGCCAGTGGAGCTTAAAAACTGAAGTGGTGCAAAGGTGCTATATGTAGATTTTATATCTTTGTATATTTTACAAAGTATACTTTAGAAAGCTTTAGCATGTAGAAGACATATATTTCGTCTTGTATGAACACAGAAAAATGCTTTTAATGTTTTCTGAAAAATTTTAATGGTGCAGAGGTGTACCTGTGAACTCCAGGAAACCAAAAGCAATTTTGCAAACTGTTCTGTGCAGAATCTGAATGCTGTGTGCCCTCTAGAGCTCTCTTGGGGGAAGCTCTGGTAGTCAGCTTGTCTTGGTCTGGGGTAGCAACTCATCACAAGTCCCTTGATGTATTCAGGTACTCAGAGCATCTGTGTGCTCTGAAAGTCCAGATTCTAAATCAGACGTACACAGCAGATATGATTAATGTTTTACCCACTGCAAATGTGTCCTTCTGATTATCAAAGTGGCTGATAATAAAATGCTGATAAATGCACTAATAGTTTCTCAGTCTAAAAATGAAGTAACTTTCTGACTTTTATGATAGATTTCAAACACAGAGCAGAAATTGGTTTGTAGAGGTCTGAGCCTTTTGTAGTTCTCTTTCTTTTACCCAGGCACAGCTGGGTCCTGCTCTTGCCCAGGTAAATCCAGAAAGAAGAATGTAGGGAGAGACAAAGGTAGGAGCAGCCAGAGGTGAATATCATTTACAGCTACAACATCAAACTGTGGTGAGCAGAGTAGAGGATTGAACACTTCCTGGCTGAAAAAAAATATTCAAAGCCAACCCCCCACGTTTTTGGGGTATTTCTCAGCTTGGTTCATGCTCTGACCTCAGGAGGTTGTGGTCACACATCTCCACTTGCAGTGGCTGAACCAGCAGCAGAGCTGAGTTCAGCCTGCCTAAGCATTTGCTGCTGCACTCCTGCCAGATGGTTGCTCGTCTTTTACTCTCCCCAGGGCTGCACCTGGGCATTATTACTTTATTCTGAGTATTTTTTCCTTAGGCTTTGCTGTATCATTTGGCTTAAAAGAGTTTAAAAGCACTGGCTACTCTGCCCAAGCTGCGGAGTAGATGGTGCTGGCAGCTGGGGATGGTAAATTGCAGCAGCGAGTGGCTGCTTCCGTGCTGTGGCTTTTCAGCTTTTCTGAGCAGCCTCAGAAGCTGCGAGGGCTCTGCCCAGGGCATGTGCACCTCTGCTGCACAAAGCTGTCTCAGACAGCTCAGGCATCAGGAACTGGAGTCCAAATGGGCTGAAAGCGCTGTTTTCCAGGGAGGTGCACTTGAGGGTGCGGAGTGCCTGCTCTGGCTGCTACCCGAGGTGCGGGAAGCTCAGCACAGAATTGCTTAGAAAAAGTGCCCCTTGCCCTGCCTTACCCAGGATTTTGCAACTTTTAGCCAGACAGAGAAGGGCTGGATTTCTTTCGCAAGGTTCGTCGCTTTCCTCCTGCAGTTTTCTCCTTGAGCTGCCACGTGGCGCCCATGCTGCTGCTGGGGCTCACCTGCCACCCACACACAGCTGAGCCTTTGGAACCTGCCACCAGCCCTCAGAGCAGCTGCAGCCTCCTGCACCACTGTGGAGTTCGTGAAAATGTGCCTTGGCAAGGTCTTTTTTAATCCTCAGGGCCATGAAAGTACAGCTTATCTAACTACCAGCAGCAAGTAAAAAAAAAAAACAAAAAACAAACTCTAGAATTTTACTCCCTCTTATTTTCTACTCTTGGTATTTTATTTCCTCTTGGAAATAATTTTGTATCCATGCTTAGTGAAAATATTTCTGCTGAGTAGTCTCTGTGTTTTAAATATGGAGCATTAAATGAATCATTCTATGCTATCAGCATGAAATTCACTACACTTATTTACTCTTATGATTAAGATAGATTGTGTATCGGGTAATATTATCAATTTCACTTCAAGAGTTTCCTCAGAACCTGTGGTTCAATCCCTGAGGATTGTCTGTCTAAACTTCAGGAAGTATAATTGATAAACTACTAGAGCTTTCAGTTTTTCTGGTGGTTCAAATAAAGAATTCTGTATTTTCTGTTGAAATCAAGAAGTAATCTTGCTGTAACAGGTTGGTGATTTTTTTAAGCCTTGCAGTTTGCTTTCTGGTCATGCATTAATTATATTTAGAATTGGTTTAAGTTGATTAGGCAATGAAGTCTAAGCTTGCAAAGAGATGAATCTTTCTTGATAACTTGGGTTCATCTAGGAGATTTAGGGGCTCATGTTAATTATTTCAGTTAATTATCTGGAAGTCACATTCCACCATTACAGTGTATCGATTTAATCAGCCCTAGATGCAAGTTTGTTCTGTGAATTTTGAACAAGCCCTTATGTGCACCCAAGTCCTGTATATCCTTAGGAGAGAGACTGAAAGAAAATAATTTTCCCACCAAAAAAACATAATTTTAAGTGTTCTCAACACAGCAGGTTTTTTTTTTTTTATGAGGTATAAATATTTTTTAGAAGGAACCTTTAAAGGAAAAAAAAATTTGAAAATGCATGTCAGGTGTCTGCTACAAAGTATTAGAGAAAACAAAATGTGCCATCAAAAGACTTTGTGAACTGAGCACCTAGTTTTGCAGTTCTAAACATATTCAACTGTTCTGATTGCATTTTTGCTGAAGCTGAATTTAAAACTCTTGAAACTGTGAGTGGGTGAGGTTGAGGGCATATGGCAGTCTTCCTACAATCCCCAAAAGGATCAATTTGGATTTTGTAGGTGAAAAGTGGTAAAATTCATAAAGGCTTCTTCTGTAAGTATTTTAAATGAATTTCTGCTACAAAGCACTTGGAGATTGTGTGTGTCACTGCCCTGGTGCTCTCTGCTTGTGTTACCAGGAAGGAAGGGAGCCGGAGCCTGGTGCAGGACCAGCTCTGCATTCTCACATTCAGAAGTAAGCCTCAAGTTCTGGTGTAAGTTTAATATTGCTTTTTCTTCCTAAGCAGGTGTGAAAGTAAAGAGCTGGATGTTGAAATAAGGAACCTGATAGGGAAGAGCAACACTTTGGAGTCTTGTGAAGACCCCAAACCTCTTGCCCAAGAGAGGCTGAGCCCTCAGAGAACTTCGTGTTCCCTTAAGGTAATCGCAGTGTGCTTTTGCAATGTTTATCTGCCAGGAAAGAACGTTCAGGGGATGTTCTCTGTGGGACTTGACTATACATGAAACTTTAGGATTTCTGAAATGATGCAATGAACTTGCTACACAGTTTTTTTCCCTGATATAGCTGCTTTCTGGTATGAGGAAGAGTGACTGAGAAGGTACATTTTATAGCGCTTTAAAAGGTCAGCTAAACCCACTGATTATTATCCTAAGTGTGAAACCCTGTAGCCAGTTGTCCCTTTTGGATAACACCAATCCTTGGGACTGTGTAACCCCCAAAACACTGTCATTTTTGATGCATTTGGATGTTCTGATTTAACTGGGAATGAGCAGAGGTGTGGGACACAAAGACCTGTGGAAGTGTCAGAAAGGCTTTCAGATGAATAGGAAGAGAGGAGGAGGAAAATGATGATGATTCAAACCCACACTTGTGTGGTATTGCAAACAGAAAATCGTAAGCCACCTGCTAAGGCGATTGTCTTTGCCTGCAGAGAAGCGGTGGTTAGCAAGCCTGTCAGAAACTTGTTCTGGGTTTCCCTCTCAGTTTCACTCCTCCCCTCTGAAATATCGAGAATAGAAGGAATTTTCCCGTTTTCCACAATCTAGGAGCCAGGAGGAGGGAGGGGTGCAGAGGAGAGGAGTGATTAAACCGTGAATGATACACTGGCAAGGGATGACACTCTTACCTGTGTGACTCCAGCACGGGATGGGGAGAGGAAAACTCTGAAGGCTGTACGCCGAGGCACGATGCAGGAAATTAGTGAGGAGGTAAAAGGGAGATGACTCTCTTCTACGAAATCCGAAATTACACACAGCTCCTTTCACATGCAAACCGCCATCTCCAGAATGACTCATGACCTCGGGGCACGAAGCTGAGCCGAGGCTAAGGAGACGCCGCAGGGTCAGACCAGTGGGATTAGAAACGGTGAGAGAAGCCACAGGGAGGGATGGGGATTCCCGGAGGCGGGGGAGAAACAAGCGTGGTGAAGCACAAGTCAGTGCAGAACCTAACTGTGAAATTACAAGCCACAAAAGATCAATGGAAACACCGGGTTCCACTAGTTAGCCTCTCTCCAGGAGAAGGAGACATAAGAAAGGATTTGGGGAATGTGAGGAGTAAAGAGAAAGGATGTGCTCACCTGGACCCTTTCTGAAGGATACTGCAATGCTTCACACGGGAGACCGTGGCAGCATTTAGTCTGTGGTGCTTTTATGCTCTTTGCATTTATAGCACTTCTTGCCTGTAAAATGTGTGTGTGTGTGTTTGTGGTTTTCAGAGCTTGACAGTCCTGTTGAGCTTCAACAACAGAAGGTGCTAGGAGTACCTGTCTTGGATTGTGTGTTTTGGGAAAGGAGGTCATATTTTTAACACCCAGTAGACTTTGTGAAGATTATGAAATAATATTTTTAAAAACCCCCACACCAGAAAATAACCATTTGGGAAATTATACTGATTTGGACTTAAAATGAGGGGCCAATTATATGTTTAACACCAGGTCAGTTTCATTCTGTAAGATTTTTTTGGAGTGAAGAGTATAAATTACACTCTTTAGAATGGCATTTCCATCTGACTTTAAATCACTTTCAAGCCTAATATTTAAGTGTCTCTAAACAAATTCCCCTTTTTGCTAGGATTTTTTTTCCATAAAAATTTATGAACTTCTCAGCACATCCTTCAATCTATGATTCCTTCAGTTGTAGCTTGTCCTGATGCTGCATTCTCCATTCCAGGAAAGGGAATAGATTTGCATATTTTAGATTTGCAAATTGTCATCCAATTATTTTCACATGCAACTTGCATTTTAATCATCAGGCCTGAGTTTGCGAATACTCAGGTACTTGAGAGGCTTATGGTCCCTTATGGTTCGTGGATAAAGGGGATCCTGAAGCAGGAGCCTGTGCTCAAATATTTTGATTTACTCCAAAACCATGTCTTGCTCTAATTTTATCTGGTTCCCATGTATTAAGACACAAATTAGCATCTGACATAGTTAGTGAAGGGAAAATCCCTTTCTAGCACATCTCTCTGGTGAGGCACAGTGGCCAGGTTAAGGCAAGAAGAGGCAGATTCTTCTTCTGGTTCAAGAGCCAATTTTGTTCTTCAGCTAAAATTTCTCATTTTTTACCATTTCACCACATGCCTCAGAATGGGAAAATGGATACTGTGGCAAACACTGCTGGCAAAACAGGTTCAGCAATAGAGCCAAAAACAAAGTTCAACTGAAACATAAGTAAAGTGAAGGCTCCCAAAAAGCCACCAAATTTTAATCCAAGTAATCTCAGAGTTAATCTAGTTTCTACAAGTCTACAACAACAAATAAAAAAAATTAAAATAAAAAAATCTTCAACAAACCTCACAGCAGATGAATGATCAGCTAGGAAAAAAAATATGACTTTGTCTTTTTGTATGATTTTGTTATCATCAAGGAAAGCCTCGCATTTGCTTGCATCGGGGCTTTTAGTGATTCTTGGTTTCGCTGCAGTTACTGAGCAGACAGAATTTTCAGAAGTGAGAAATGGTTTTCATTATCTGAATTTGAGTGATATTTTGTAATACTGTGACACAAGTTGTTCCCAGAATTAAGATCCAGTACTCTGAAAATGAGAACTTCTATCATCTTGAGGCTTGTGAGAGGATTCAGTGCTGGCCACAGCTCCAAGGCTCTGATTTTTCTCCCACTGCAAGCTTCCCAAAGATGCCTAAAAGGCCTTTATGCTCAGGAAGCTCAGGTCATCCTAGAATACAAACTAAAATATTTTTCATTTTTCAACAAGTCATTAAAAAAAAAACAAAACAACAATCACAAAGCTGCTACTAATAGAAATTACAGAGTATCATGGAAATAAACTAGAAATTAATAAGAGGCTTCTAAATTGTTATAAGATGCCACTTGGGAGTTAACTTAGGAAGTGTGAGGGGCAGCAAATTCTCCCATTTACTTCCTGAGCAGCTTTTTCCATACCTGGCAGATTTTTAGGTTTGTAAATGCTTTTACAGTCTGGAATTTTCCAAGCATTTAAAACCGTGTGTTTTGTTCAATAGCTTCAAACCAAGCATAAATGCTTTAAAAGATTTGTAGGGCTTTTTGAATTCTGAAAACTGATAGGTCTCAAAGTTTCAAAGATTTCTATGTAAGTGAGGTTTCTGGAGTGCTATTGTACAACCAAGTTTTTCTTGATAGCAGCAAACATCACTGCAAAATCAATGAAAATGAATGCTGTCATCTCCTTCTCTTTCTTTTTGGTGCTATTAACTGTTTTCACAGAGACAGACAATGATTTTGCTTCAAACTCTCAGTTTTGGCTGGTAGCATACCATCACCTCTGAAGAGCTTGAGTTTTTGTTCTCTACTCATTGTCATTTCTTCTCTTCATACAGATTTCAGACATACTCTTGTTTCTCCAATCTGTTTTTATGTGGCAACCAGTTATCCCTGTGAATGCTAAGGCACTGAAAAGTACTTTAGTCTTAGTTCTATTCTGTCCAATTTTATGTAAAATCATTCACTTCAAGTGGTCATTATTGCAGTCATGAAGAAATCACTAACAAGGTGTTTTAATGTCCAGGTAGCTTTCCAGGAAACTACTCAGCTCTCCAGGAAACTGTTGTGACCTAAATTATAGGTCTAACCAAGGTCTCAGCCTCATCCTCTCTTCCAAGTAATTTGAGCATTAATTTCTTTCAAGTGGGAGCTGTGGTTCATGAGTGGGACTGTGCCCTGCTCTTCTGCCCCACTGAGGGGACCTCTCAGAGCCTCACTCACCACATCCCACCGTGCTCTTGTGAGGAAACCAGAAACTGGGGCTGCTTTACCTTGCAGGCCACACCATAAAATGCAGTTGTTCAACCCGAGCTTTCTCCAAAAGTGAACGTGCTGCTGGTGTGGGGATGAGACTGGTGAGTGGGAGCTGGGGAAGGGACAGTGTCTGGGCTTGAGAGGCATCGCCCTCAAGAGCAGATGTGCAATGTGGAAGGCTTGTGATTGTATTTTTATTAAGCAGATGTCCAGTGTTGGTGCTTTTCCGCACCAGTTTATAGTCTTCAACCTGATATGCTCAATGTCTAGTTTTGATATAGGTACAGATGTAATTCTTCTAATTTTTGATGAATAGGATTACTCCTGTGTAGAATCTGAAATGACTTCATTAAAATAACCTTTGTTTTTAAATTTTTCTCTTGATACACCACAAGTTTTCCATCTGGTCCTTAAACCAAGAGAAAAATGGAAAGAACCTCAGGGTAGCAGGACATATTTCATATGCAAATATTATAAACCAGTAGCTTTCTTCCACATTGGGGTTTGTATCTTGCAAAAGAGGATTTGCTTAGTCATACATTGTGAACCAGATATCTGGAATGTGGGTGCAAAATTTCAGCATTTCACAGGATTACTTTACTTTCTCTAAATCTGTTTTTGGAAATTGAAAGATGGATTTATATTATTTTTATGTCGCATTTCACAGGTTAGCTTTCATTTCATTCCTTCAAAATGAAATAAGAAACATCTGCTGCTACTGCAAAAGCCATAGACCCAGAGATCTTTCCACAATAAGGAGTAGGATTTTTCTTCTGTGCTTCCCTCTGAAATCCATTATTTTTCAGAATTCCAAGACTGAGGATGAGAATGCTTTGCACTTTTCTGTTTCATTCTGACTTTGTATAGGAAGTCAGTGCAAGCCTTTTCTTTGTTAATCTTTTCTGTGAGTTTAATTTGGTAAGGCTAACATCTTCCTCCAAATGGGAAACTGAGGCACAGCTTTGGAGTGTTGGGTACCTTTGAGTACCCAAGTCTTGAGTGTCTTGGTGCTGGATCCGTGCTATGGTAAGGCAAGTGGCAGAAGTGCAAACACGATGTTGGTCATTCTTCATCTATGTGCAGCTTTTCTTTGGGGAAACAAATCAATTTTCCGGTGTTGGTTTTCCCCTAAACATCTTGGGGTTTTTGTATGGGGGTGCTCTTCCCTGTAGCTGTTAACAGACTTCGCTATTGCTCCCTTAGAATCATGACTCACTCATTCTTCTGTTCTGATAATCACTCTTGGTGTCAATAATTGTTGTAATTACTGAAGTCATTTTTTATAACTGGAAGCAGGGATAGAAAAGCCTGTCCTCTTCTTTACTGAAAAAGCAAATACTCTTCCTTCCCTAACATGCAACTTCCTCTCTGGGGGAAACTGGCCAGACAATTGTGACTTCCATGCACACAAAGCTGCCTTGCCTGGCACATTAGTCATAGGCATTGTGCTTCATCCATTCTGGGAAGCCCCAGCCAGGAAGGAGGAAAAGGTTAAAATCAGAATTCCACCAGTACTTTCTGGATCGTAGCTGCTTCCACAGGCAGCACTCCTGGATCTTCTGGGTCTGAAAGCAATTCTCCTGCTTTTTTAGCCAACACAAAATCTGTTTCATTGCTCTTCTTCCTCCAAAGAGCCACAGTGAAGGAAACGCTCCAGGCTGGCTTGGATGCAACTGGGCAGGTGGGAGTGACATGGAAGCTCCAGCAGAACCATTGCAGGTAAGTGGCAGTGTTGGCTGTTCTCTGAAGTGTTTTCTGATTAACAGGTGCTAGTGCAGGTCACTTTGTAGATTGACAATTATGGGCTGATCTTGGTGCTCTAATAGATTTTTCTCAATCATTTAAACTGTGTAAGAGTGGAAGGAAATGTTAGAAATACTTTTGCAGATGGCATTCTTAGAAGCCCTTTTCTAATGGGGTTTTTTGACCTCCAGAAGTTGCACAAAGGGTGCAGAGTGGTTCATTTAAGTGACCCCATAACTTCTGTGAGCAGTATTTGGGCTAGTTGGTGCCAAGTTTATGTGTAGTTGAGTTGTCCTATTCACATTATCACTATTCTTAAATATGTTCTTCAATATATGCCTAAGGCCCAGATGCTGAAAGCAATTCAGCATGGGAATAACTCCATTAGCTGCCAGGTATTGCTTCAGATACTCTAAATTAAACACAACTGTGAGCTACAAGAAGAGGGATTAAATGTTTTCTGGCATGGAAGCCAAGGGCTTCACATCAGAGTTCAGCAGGACTGGCCATGGGGCAAATATGTGGTTGGGATTTTTGCCTTTGAAAAGACACAGTGACACTGTCTTTTGATCTTCATTGGTATTCAGCATTAAATTCTCTATCTACAGAAAATTTATTCCAGACCTCAGAAGTGCTCGCACCATTATTCTTGTTTTTCATATATTGGTTGAAAATTTAGGGAGGGAAACAAAAATTGCTGAGCATGTATCTGACCAGAGTATGTTCTATTTTTATGAGGCCGTCTCTTTTTTTCCAGTACAGTTCTCTCTCTTTCTTGCTAATAGATCGCAGGTTTCTTTCCATGACAATCCATATAAACTTCTTGGAAATTATGATATAGAACGCTGCCATTATAAAAATGAGGGTCTAGCTGCTGCTGTCCTGCATGGGTGAAACTCCACATTTGAAAAAAAATGGAACAATTTCAGACTGATCTTCTAAATTTCTCCAAATGACCTATTTGTTTTCTGTATTGCTTGTTTTGAGCCCATTGTGCTAAAGTTTATCACCATGGGCCTGCAAGCACTTATCAGGGGCAATCCTACAAATTATTCTAGTTCTTATAAATGAGGGGAATTACTCACACTCACTCCAAGTCATGCTCAACTTTTGTGGCTTGTACTACTTGTTTGTATTATCATCTGCAAGATAATTAAAAACCTCTTTTGTGTTCCGTGTCTCAGATGGTACAAATAGATACAATTTTGGTTATTTCAGTGGCTAGTTGCATAATGCTTCAATTAAAACACAGCCTGAGTGGGTTTAAAACAGGTGTACTCCAGAATCAGCTGCCAACAGGTGTGAAGATATTTAGATACAAATCTGGTGTAAGAAAAAGTTTGTTTCAGTTTCATTTTGTGCACCTGTCAGGGTGGATAGGAGCTTTACAAGAGACTCTTAAAGAGTACAGACCAGAAGGGTTAATTTTTGAACATTGCTTTTCTCCAGTCAAGGCACACATTACTGAGCAAAAAGAAGCCTTTGTCATCTAATTCTCTGGAGCAACAGATCCTCACACTGGAAAGACAGAGACGAGAGGTAATCCTAAAAATACCCTTAACCACATGATGACTGATTGTACATGCCTATGAATCTGGAAGAGCAGGGGTTTATTTAGTACCAAGGGCAAATTTTATTAATAACCACTATTGCTAAAGGCCAAGGAACAACAAGCAGGGTTTGCACTCAGTACTATCCCAGTCAGTAGGAGTTTTCCATTCATTTGTTTGAAGTCAAAGACCTTCTAATTGGAAATATGGTCATGGAAATTGTAGCAAACTAGCAGGAAAGTCCCTGGCCATTTAGGAGTTGCAGCTTTGGATTTGTGCAGTGTTGCAAATGATCCACCTGTAGCTTGTTGTGTATTTGCATGTTTCCTGAGTGCTGCTTCCTGAATGTTCATGTGCTTTAACCGAAATACCAAAGCACTGGCAGATGGGCTGCAAGGCTTGCCAAACCTTCAACTTGCCTCTTCTGAAATAAATGAACTGGCCAGATGATGAGGAGGTTGGGAACACTCACTGACAGAGGATTAGAATGCCAGTCTGTTTTTGATTTACTGAAAATGTTGAAATAAGTGTTATTTACTGTACCTTCCTGGTAATTACAGCTTTTGGAAGTGAACAAGCAATGGGATCATCAATTTAGAAGTATGAAACAGCTTTATGAAAAGCAGGTAACAATGCTGACAAACTTCTGTTGCAATATGTGTGCCACCTGCTGACAGTTAAGTCTGTGTTTAAATACCAGCCAGCCATAGCCATGGTAAATATCTTACTTTGTCTTGATCTCATAAATTGAAAAAAAGGTCATAATGTAAAAGTGAAGCCAATGTGTGTCAGTCTTCAGTAGGACAAACTAACCAGAGAAGCAGAGTATCCCTAAAATAGTAGGGTCAGTGTGGACATGACAGCAGAGATCTTCATGCCCTCTGCACTGTAGTAAAAATTGCACAGAACTGAGAGCACAATTCACAGATAATCAGCCTGGTGTGCCCAGCCCCTGATCCACATCATCATGCATATGCTGGTTCTTGTCCCTTGGTAAATTCTCCATGAAAGTTGTCCTCTGAAAGCAGAGACTCTCAAAATGAGTTGTAAAGATATATTTTGATTTCTGTTATTTTTCCATCCAGTTGACATAGCTTTTATTCCTTGCTTTTTGCTTATGGTGTCATTGCTGCAGACATTATCACCAGCTGCCTAGTGAAGTTCAGTGCTTACAATTTTGTCTGGTATTCCAGAACCCAAGTTGGTTCATTGACTGACACTCTTCATCTACTGTTTCCTGCTATGAACAGGAAGTTTATAGAATGAATTCATGTGCTTATCAGGAAAATTTTTTATATAATATTTTCCAGAAATCTTTGCCAAGATCTGAAAAATTCCTTTTCTTTTACCCCCAAAGAGAAGAGGAATCCAAATGGCTCTTCTTCATTTAATCTGGAACTGTTTTATGGCTCTGGCTCAACACCATGAAGGTGCTGTGCCTTTCAGAATCCCCAACGAGCCCAGCATGGTCTGTCACTTGCTTTTCAGCTGACAGAGATGAAGGCAAGGCTGGACGTGTCGGAGATGAGAGTGAGCGAGCTGGAGCAGGAGAGGCACCAGCAGCATCCAGAGGAGGAGAGGTGGCGAGTGCTGGGCAGAGAGAGGCTGTTGCAGGAAAAGGTAGGAGGGTGCCCTGTGGCACCTTTTGTGCTCTGTGGTGAGCTCTCTCTTGCCTTTCATCTTTCTCCCTTTGTGTGAGGCAGAGCGTGGGTTGTGCACAGCCCAGGGGTGAGGTTGTGGCTCCTCAATATCCTACCCAAGGCTGCTGAGCTGCCTCATCACAGAACTCTGTATAGAGAAAGAGTCATTTCCATATGACTGGCAGACAGCACAACATTAGTGTGTGTGGGGGGGAGTAAAGAGCAGGTTGATTTCTACACTGCACAGATTTCCCTCCTCACAGTTCAGTTCAGGGTGAAGTTCTTTGTGAAGGAAAATGCTGCAGGTATTTCAAATGGCAGAGGAACAGCAGTGCAGATGTTACACAAAGTGCTTGGCAAAAAATACTCAAGGAATGAATGCAGCTCCAGGTTTTGGTATTGACAGTACAGACTCTCGTACATGTGCAGCTATCTCAGCTCCCTGCAAATATTAGTGACACTGTCAGTGCATTTATCAGGGCTGCAAGTGTCTGGGCTGATCAGCTGCTCCAGAGTGGTGTTCACCTCACCCTCAGAGTGGTTGGGCTGCCTTTTCAGGACTCCTTGGGACCTGGCTCTTGTCGTGGGCTTCTGAACCTAAATTTAGATCCCTGAGCTGGATCCCCACCTCAGTAAAACCACCAGCCTGAATGATGGGCACCTACACAAAACGTTGTTCTCCAATTTAGAAATGCCTCAGCGTGGCTCTTCCTGTTCTCATTCTGCTTCATGGTATCATATACTTCATGACCTCTAGTGAGAGTTTCTAGATGGTGATGATGGCTGAAGTTGGGCTTCTTTATTCACGTGGTAACCTGAAAAAAGTGGCAATTGCATCACTTCCAGGCTCAGATAAGATGTGAGTTAGCTGCTGCAAGAAAAGAAATACAACCCTCTTATCTTACACCTGCATAAGCAGAACATTCATCTTACTTTATTATCAATTAGTGCTAGCTTAGCACATATTGATTCCAAATCCATAGAGCAATTTACATGTTTTAAGACAAACTATGTTATGTACTTGCTGAATTACTGCCTATATTTGCTCTGAGTGTTGATTCTATGTGAGACAGCCTATATTTCTGTTCATGTTATTGCCTTTTAATGTAGGATACCTGGGAAAATAACTACCATTTTATAAAAATAAGGATGAGTAGTACGCCCTCTCAGATTTTTTTACTACATACATGAATAATGAACTAAATGATGGTATAATCCAAAACTTTTTTGTGGGGTCAGGTTTACCAGCATGGAACTTTGGTCTTAAATCTGCAATTTCTTTAAAGTTACACACTCAGCAAATAAGTACTTGTCAGCTTGAGCAAGCTGCTGGATGAGTTCCTATACTTACTGCAGAGATACCCTGCTAATCTTGCCTGGTTATTGGAGAAAATGAAATGTCCCAGCTGACTGAGAACACAACAGATTTAAGCTTCCTCATGTATAAGTAAGTTACTCAGGGGTATTTTTCACTGGCTTAGTTAGCACATGGTGATGAAATTCTGATGAGCCTAAACTGCAACTGGCTGCACAGAGATGAGCCTTTTACACAGGAAAAAAAACCCCATTCCTGTGTTGTGCTGTGCCTGTGGTTGTTGGATCTCACTTTTTTATTCACATAAAGTAGAAAATATTTGAAGTACTTATTTTTCCTCTTTTTGTCTTCAGTGTTGTATGGCACTGGGAGCAGCTGGGACTCCACCAGCATTAGCCCTGGTCTTTTTCTCTGAGTACATAAGAGAAATACAGGTCTGGGGTAACAGTGAGTGTGATTTTGAACTGCTTGGTCTGCCAGCATTCCCATACCTTCATGCAAACTGCAGAGAGCAGGGATTTAGTCTGGTATGTTGTCTCTGTCTCATCATATGGTGAGTGGTCAAAACAATTTCTACAGACTTTATCATATCTGTGTGTACTAATGATCTGCCTTCCTGCTGCCTCCCCTCCCAACTCTGTTTGGGACAACAGAAATGCAGCACATCTGTCAGACAGAAGATTATTTGGAAAATTGTTCTTGAAAAATGTTTCCATCTGCTTTTCTGCAGCATCTCTCTGTATTTTTGCACCCCAGAAAGATGCAGAGGTCCTTAGTGAAGCTCTCCATGAAATGAAGGAAGAGAACAGGCTCCTGAAGCAGAAGAACGCCTCGATGAGCAGGAGGAAGGAGTACTATGAGAGTGAAATAAGCCGTCTCAACAAGGTAGGAACAGGAGTGAGCTACTGATTCCTCTAATTCTGGGATCTCTGTTGTCAGTGACCTACCAGATACCATCTTTTCAATTCTGGGTGAACAACCTGGTGGCAAACACATGATCACCATTTGGAAGCTGGGGAAATGAGTGAGAACTCACTTCAGCTCAGACCTGTGCATGCAGGGTCTAAATCCTTGGCAGGTAGCATTGCAAAGAGAAAAATCCAGAGAGTATTTGGCTTCTCCTATTAAACCTCTCTACATATCATGTCTAAGCCCTTTCTACATCCTCTCTCCTCAGAGCAAAGGGGAAATGGTACAAAGATGCTTTTGTGTGCACCTAGTAAAAGACTGTGGTTGAAAAGAAAGGTCACACAGCTTAAAAACTCATTTAACATGTATTTTGTGTTTGAGAATGACGGCTTCTCTTCAGAAGACATGGTCCTGTCCTATTGCTTATATCCATACACACACATATTCATACCTATATTATGTGTATATATGTCTCACTGAGGAAATTGCCATGAAATAGCTACGTGGATTTTTTTTTTAACTGAGGGAAAGTAATAAATACAATTTTGTTTAATCAAATAATCACATAAAGCAGTGGGTGTTTTCTAACAATTTTGTATTTCATGGTGAACCACAAACACTTCCTGAGGAAATGCATTGCAGTTACCATTGCTGTGTAGCTTTAATAAGTGCTTTAATAAGCTAAAGGGCCATAATGTGCAAAAGTCAAGCCAAAAACATAATGCCATAAGAAAAAATCTGACAGAATCCATGATCTCTAGCTCTTCTTGAAATGCATTGGCAGGACTTGCTCAAAGCTCCAGTCTAACTTTAGTTCAAGGCCTTGGTTGTTAAACAACTTATTGAAATGTTTTATTTTGCTGTCTGATGATGTGACTGTAATAAGACAGATGGGGTATATAGACCATTCTTTTAAAAGAAGCATCAATTTCATAGACACTTTCCCAACAGTAATTTACTGATTTTCTGTGCATTTGTGTTCTTCAGATCTCATGTCATGAATACACATGAGTCGGGAAGGGACCCTCTGTGCCCTTTTAACTTTAGTCCCCTGCTATTTCAGGTTCAGCCACTCGAAGTTATTACAAATTCTCTGAAATCAAACAAATTTATCTTCTTATGTGAATGGATAAAGCAGGGTCTCACAGTATTGTGTCCAAATGCAGTTTAAAAACTATATGCACCTTACCATTAACTTTTTGAAGGTTGGTTTTCTGGATTTTCCCCTTTTTTCCCTGCTCCATAATACTAACTTGTAGAACCTTCTCAAAAAGGTATTGAAAGGAGATTCAGTGGGGCAGAAGAAGGGTTAATCAGTAATCAACGTGTCTGTATTTTCACCCTCCCAGTTTTAGGTCCAACCTTCTGAATGTATTGGCATGGAACACAAACTTTGCCACTATTATAACCAGTTTCACTTCTGGACAATTCTTAGGGACAGCACCTCATCAGTTAAGAAGCTTTCCTTTTCCATGCTTCCATGGAAAGTGCTTGGTTTTAGTTGGGCCTTGGATAATTAATACCAATTCTTGTATTACTTTGGATACTGGTTCTCCTGCTGGGCCCCTTCTTCCCCCTTCAAATGTCTTCCATCCTTCCTGCATGAGTGTGGGCAGCAAGGGAGAGCTGAGGATTATCAGCACACATTCAACTCCTAAAAAGGATGAAGTCAGGGATTTTTATCTTAGGTGAGAGAATGAAAAGTACTGAATGGTATTTGTGCTAGAGTAAAGAAAAGAATATATCATTATAATTTGTGGTTATAGACAGAGAGATGTAGGAGTGATTTAATTATTCCAGTCCAAGGGGGAGCTGTGTAGTACTGTAAAAATAAAGTCTGTGAAGAACTGTGGCAGAATTTCACAGTAAAACAGGTAAGAGTGGTACCAGTGTTGTGTGTATTCATAACTCCCTCTAGTGACAAACTATGGAGACTACATAACTTCCTCTCAAACAGGAGGGTTTACTTTGTTCCATGTGAAGGAATCCCTACTTTTCATGCAAAAAAACGTTTCAGTCAGACTTTGCTGTAGTAAAGTGGGTTTATATGCAGTGTATATAATTGAAGCAACTACAAGTGAGGGGGAAATTTTAAAGGATATTTTTTCTTTTTCATGTAGTGAATCTCTGTTTAGAAATTTTGCTGTTTGGTGTTGCAGGCCCTTCTGGACACATTGAAAAAGCAGCCCCCACCTGTTGTTGGGACTCCTCCAGGGAAGGGTGACAGGAGCAGCACTGAGGAGATGAGAACCCAACTTGAAGTTCTTAAACAGCAGGTAAGAAGAGCTGAAGTGAGCTGTTCTTTCACACAGCATATTTTTGCCTTCTCTCCCAGGGATTGTGCTTGGTAGAGTTGCTGTGTAGAGCTTCTGAAAGGAAGAGCCAGTTTAGCCACAGCTCCTTGGAATGATGTTTCCCCAGATGCTGTCATCACAGCAGAGTCCACAAAGTGAAACTGGCTCCTGGCAAAGGACTGGAGCAAGGACTTGTGGAGGATTCAAAGCAGCAGAATGGCTCTCCTGACTCCTGGAGGTGTCCCGCCAGCTCTCTGTTAGGGGCGGAATGTCATCCAGAGGGAATGCTAAATTTCATTAATTACTGGCTGTGTTTTCTGATCCTTTTACCTTAGAAGTCATCAGTGTAGCCAATTATCCAAAGATCCTAGTCTTGGAAAACTAGAGCATTGGCACTGCAGTTTTTCTAAGTGTGAGGCAGACCATTTACATTCATAGCCTGCATCCCGAGGACTATGGATTTGTATTTATTTATTTTTTAATCTTTGTTCTGAGCAACTCAAATGCTTTGTGCACTGTCTTTCTCTTCATATGAAAGAATCTGTTTAAAAACAATATAGTTTTCAGATAATTTTAACACTTCAGGTCTGTTATCCTGGATAGTGTCAGGGTTAACATTATTGACACACAAATGGATGTGATCAGAATGGGAATTTTATTCAATGGGAATAAAATACTTGTTTCTGTCACGTTTGACAGCAGAGCCAGATTTTGCTCTCTAATGTAATGCTTGCCACATGCTGGTGAACAAAATCCTGCACTTGATTGTACAGTAATGAGTTATTTCATTCTACACAATAAAATAGAGTAAACCAGTTTTTTTTTCCAAAATTCTCATGGGGTATCCATTTTATGAATGTGTTTTTCTAGTTGTATAAATCAGTACAGTGAGTCCAGACTTTCTTCTACATTAAATGGAGCAGAAGGCTCTAACTGGACAGAGGAGGGACTCTTGGGACAAAGAGTGACATGTCAGAGTCCCATGGGAGCTTGGTTGTCATCAGCCCACCCCTGGTCATGGCAGTGGAGATGAAGGCATTCATTCCTTGGGAGGTGTCCCCTCTTTCTCAGGACAGCAGGATAAATGGCAAATCTGTGCCAAAGAGGTTCCCTTGCAGCTCCAGCAGATTGTACAGCTGGGCAGTGGGAGGGAGGTGGGACAGCAGAGAAGGAATTGGGAGAGAAGAAAGGAGGAAATACTGAGAGGTGTGTAGATGGACAAGGGATGCAGGGATTTCTGCAAGTGACAGCTTAGTCTGCTTTGGAGGGTCAGGAAAAGAATTTATAGAGCCCTGTGCTCATCTTTTTCTTCCCCTGAGGTATTAACATTTTTTTGCTCCTTCTGTGAATTCATAGCACTGCTTCCAGCAAAAAGAGAACTAGATCTGTCCAATGGACAGGGCATGAGCCACAGCAAGCAAGTTTTTTGGGAAGAGACTGTCAGCAGGCTTTAGTGAGCAACCAAGGGGACATGAAAGGGCTTCTCAAAGTTCTGGTGGCAGTTCCCATTCAAGCATGCCTTTACTGTTATTTGTCAGTAGAAGTGCCACCAGCCTCCAGCTTCTCACCAGGTGGATGCCTGCCCATTAGCTGAAGAATTAAAGCAGGCATCTTAACATCAAATAATTTATAGATTTGTGTTTTGTTTCCAAATCTGTGTGCTCGCTGCCTGTGCCTAGGGTGGTCAGATATTTTTTAATGGGATGAAGCTCTGTGATTCCTGACCACATAAAAAAGAACTAAGCCACTGCATCCTTCAGCATTTGCAAGGCAGCTTATTTTCTAGGAACAGGGTCAAACATCTGTATTTCCACTGGGAATTGTGTACATTCCATTCCATTTGGAATGGTGTACATTATTCTCCCCTCTACCCTGGGCTGTGGAGGTTCTTCTCTAACTCCTTGCACCTGAGATATACAGGAGGGAGTTAAAAGTGCCCATAACTGAAGAGAAAACTGGAAAAAATGTTGGTAAAATATTTGTCCTCCTATTGGTAATCCCTTAAAAATATGGATACTAGTATTTGCTATCTCATTTATAATATTTGAAACTGATTTTTGCTTTTTGATGTGCAAGGTTGTACAAAAACTGGCACTGGGGACTGGTTTTCAATGTTCAATTTCAGTTGCAATTGATGAGTGCCACTGGAGCATGGCCATTAATTGTCACTTGGTATCAGTCACAAAAAAAGACAAGGGAAACTTTTTTTGGAGGACTGTACAGAGCAAGGATCCCCTTGGAATTCATCCTTCTGCTTGGGCAGAATTTAAAAAGCAACCAAACCACAAAGTGAGTCTGCTGAAGTTCACACACCGTTCACGATGATTGCAGGTCCAAATATATGAGGAAGACTTCAGGAAGGAGAGATCTGACCGAGAGAGGCTTAATGAGGAGAAAGAAGCACTGCAGAAAATTAATGAGAGATTACAATCTCAACTGAGTAAACTCAGCTCTCAGGTATGAGTCAAAAGAAAGCTCCCATTGCCAGCACATGTGTATTTTATTTTTTTTTTCTCACTTTCCACACAACTCAAGGCTTTCTGGCTTCCATTAATTGACATTGGATTTTATATGAGGTCACCACCTGGGATGAAATCATGCTGAAGTAATGCAGTTAAGAAGATGAGGAACGATTAGAGAAGACTTCCAAAATAAGTAGATGAAGGGAGTATTTATTGCAAAAACTTTTCAAACATATCTGAAAATGGAGGAGGGGGAGGGTGGGCACAACCAAAAACAAATCCAGAGGACTTTGATTGTTTCACTGGCACTTGATATAAGAGTTGTAAGATCAAACCAACTTTTGAAATAAAGAGCTTCTGTAGTTAATCCTGACCTCTGCAATTGAATTAGAGTGATGGTAATATCACTGAGGAAAAAAATGGTCTGCATACAAATTAGCTGAGCAGCCTCTGCAATAATTTTTTCTTGCAACATCCTTTTTATCTCTTCAAAGTAGTGTCAGTAGGAAGCCATAGTAAAATCATGGCATGCAAAACTCTGAGCTTTCTCAATCCCCATTTAAGAATGACGAAATTCCGAGGTTTCCTGTCTTGACAAAATTGTGCAATACTTTAAAAGAACGGCTGATTACCAAAATGCTCTGTGGTGATTTATTGTCCTCCCCAGCATTGTTGTGACACAGAAACTTCAGGATTGTCTTATTCTCAACCAAGCCATGCATCAGAGGTGGTGGGGTACTGCCCGTGCCCCTCACTCTGGCCGGTTTCAGTGATGTTGTGCTTGACTGTCCCTGCAGTGCACCAGCAGTTCACACTGGAGATCTTCCTGTTTGTCTCTTCCTGCCTCAGGATTTGATTAAACAGAGCTTGTGGAGGATTTTAAAGATGAGAGCAAGCATATAAAATATTTATTAGCTTGTTTTCATAAGTCAAATTATTTAGTTGTGACTCACAGAGTCACAGAATATCAATCATCTTTTGCCCCTCCTGACTCTAACCTTAGGCAAATTGCTGTTGACTCTACTGGAATGCAGAGGGCCTAAGAAAAGGCAGACCCAAATCTGAGGCCAACAACTTTGGTCCTATACCAAAATTATTTACTTCTCTTGTCATGCAAGTGACTGTCCATGTAGTTCTCCTTCAAACTATTGAAAGTGACTGTGTGTAATGAAAATACAGAATAGTTTTTGAATATAAAAGACACAGTGATGTGCTTGTCGTATCTTGGGACCAATATTTTCCTCACATAAAAGGTGTCAAGACTGTGGTGTGGCACAAGTCAGCTGTCTTAAATAATTTTTTTAATGATAAGTAGTATGAAGGGGCTAAACAATCAGCATTGCAACCCACTTGTACCTGACCTGTTGGTTGTATTCCACTGCTAATGCATTTCTTCTTGTTCTTGTTTTCTTGACAGACAAAAGACCTCCCAGTACAGCCTGAGAGGCCCAGTTACCCAGCTCCACTCTTCCTCTCTCCGTGTGTCAGTTATGGGGGTTGTGGAATGGTTCTTCACTGTCCGGATCCTCGGGCACATCCAGTGCGTCACAGGGCACAGAAGCAGCAGCAGCAGCGCTCGGTAAGGCTCCCACCATCACCTGTGTGACAGGGACACTGATTTTCTCAAAGCATGGTGACCACAGGTGCTATCACCCTGCCATCCTCAGCAGCAGGATCTGTGCTTTCCTAGTGTGTTGTTTAATCCAGATCAAGACTGAATTCACTTTGGCAAATACTCTTTATCTGTAACAGCACTAAGAAGAAAAACAGGGTTCTTTTATGTTTGTTTGTTCATTTAAAAAATACAGTTGTTTGATCTGAGTCTTGCTGATTTCTTAGATTAATTTATTCCCATGGCACACATTCAGAGCCCTTTCTAGCTGTATAATTACCCCACTTCAGAAGTAAGGATCTGCTCTGAGCCTTCAACATAAGATAATAAAAACCAAATCAGCAGAAGTGGAAGTTGTATCTGAGTGTGGCTTACACAATGGGAAATGTGCCTTTTTTCCTGGAACACCACAGGGTCCTGTCTTCCTAAGCACGAAGAATAGCTTTGCACTGGAGCAGGTTCTGTGAGTGGGAGCTATTTATTCCAAGGAAAATACTGCTTCAAAGAACATTTTTTATGTGCTTTGGGTTATCTAAGTGGGCTGGCTTGTTCCAATCTACTGAGAATGCATTTAAACATGGTGGATGTCATTTTAAATACACAATATCTGATTCTGGCTATAAAGCTGTCACATATGGAAAGATGCTCATTATTTGAGAAATTATAGCTGAATTTTTGCAAAATGCATGTAACGCTTTCAGGCTGTAGAAATCCAATGGAAAAGCTGTGATCAGACAAGTAATTTCTGTGCTTCAGGGGTGTGCTTATCTGCCTATTTATCAGAGTTGGAAGTATTGCAGAATGTTTTTCCCTGCAATTTGGACAGTGGCCCAGATTATTTTGGCTCTTCTCCCTGAACTTTCATCATCTGGGTTTCTAATTCTGTGAGGGATCACTGGGTTTACAACTTTGTCATTCCTGCCAGAGCACCGGTGTCAGTCTGACTGGTTGCTTTGTAACTCCCAGTTTCATTCTGACCCTTTTTTTTCAATTCTTTGCCTGTGTGAGTTGCTGCTCTGAGCTTTGGGTACCTCCCTGAGCAATTTGTTAGCAATGAAGAAAGGTGTTAGAATTTAATGGGTGTCCTGATACGTAATCCTGCATGTTTAGGCTGTGCTTTTGCTTTTTCGTTCTTTTTCTGTTCTTGCACTTTTTCTTTCCTTTTTACACTTCAGTAGAAACATTTTGGTTAGTCTGAAGTGAAGTACACATCTTGTTCTTGAAATTCATTCAAGTTTGTGGGGTATAGGTACATAAAAAGAGAAGAATTGATCAGAGAACATAAAATTCACCAGAAACTCAAAAGAGCAATGCAAATGAGTGTAATTTGAGCCATTGGTGAAAAACAACCTGTGCTAAAAGCTTTGTATCAAAGTCTGTGCCTGTTTGCACACAGGCACGTAATTAGTCAATAATTCCTGTGACTGGTACAATTTAAGTTAAAATAAAATTGCTCCTTTTTTCCCTGACAGTGTATGAGAGTGATTGCTGCTGTATAAGCATGAGTGACAGCAAAACATAAAAGCTAAATCTGTTTTCTCTATCTACACCTTCATCCTGCCATCTTAATTCAGGCAAAACTTCTGTAGGAGTCTATGAAATTTGTTCCCTGTAAATTGAAATCTGCAAGATTTCCCTTGGGGCTACTCAATGATTTTGTCAGAGTAATTTCTGCAAAACAAGAAACATTTTTCCAGTGTAACTAATTGAAGCAGCAATTACCTAGATTTTGACAAGCTTGCATGGACTACTTATTCCAGACAGCCTAACACAGCTTCAGCTTAAATAACTGGTCCCAAAGTTGTTTTCTCTAGTGGTAATTTGCTACTCATTTACCACAGTGGGTGGTATAAACTATAAGGCACTATTTCTTCCAAGATTTCCCTGGACAAAACTGTGTCTGCATGGACATAACCTTCCCAGTACTTCCTCTTGCGAGAAAGATGTGAATTTCCCCTCTCCCACAATGTTTTCAGGAAGTTACTTGATAATAGCTAATGCTATAGTAACAGCAGAGCTACCCTGTGAGCAAGGGGACGAGGAGAGAGAACTTCATTCCATGTTTCATTCCTGTCACACTGGAGCATTTTACAGATGCATTCAAACTGGAGCAGCTCCTGTCAGGTGGGCCGGGTTTCTCTGGGGTTCTTTGGTACAGGGAGATGCCTGCTGTATCTTCTGCTGCACTTTATTCCTTAGCCCTTTTCAAGTCTGGTTTGGTTCTCTTTATGTGTCATTGTGATTTGTGGCATCTAGAAAGGTTTACACCAATTTTTCTAATGCCATAGGAAAGGAAGCAAGCTGGAAGACTGGGACTGGTAGAAACAAACCTGAATATATGATTTTGTTTTAAACTGTTTTTTTATGGCTAATGAGAGGCTTCACAGCACAATTATGTTTTTATCATGTCACTGCTCTTTTGTTTGAAGTGCCTGTGAAGTCCATATTGCTGCAATAATGTTTTATTCTTCTGTGCAGCCAGACTATCAGTGGTATGTTCCTGACCAGCTTCCGCCAGATGTGCAGCACAAGGCAAATGGTAAGACAACAGCTGGACAGAGCATGTATTAAATGTACTTTTTTTTCAAATGGAGGCCTTTGAGGGATGTAGAGTAAACTTTGCTGTCTATCTGTTGAGTGCTTGTGTGACAGCTTTGCCTTGGAGAGTCAAGGTTGGTGTGTGTGCACCACAGGTGAGGTTTCTGATGTAATACCCTCTGTGTTATAGCTTTGTTGAAATTCATAAGGTGTCTCTATTACACATTATAGGATCACACATTTGCCTCATTAAACACCTAGTAATAGTCCTAAAGAAAAGATACCATCAGAATTCTCCTTGGAGCTTCTGTTGCTCCAGCGAAGACCAAATTTAATGATGTGCCAAAACAGGGGGCCAGCATGGGACAGGTTTAGGAGTCCTTGGTAACAAAATGCAGGCTTTAGGATGTTGTTTTACCTTAAAGACAAAATGTCCATTGCTGTTCCTGGTCTGTTCTGGTAGTTCAGGAGGTCTGGAAATAGAGCCATGCAAGTGAACTGAGTTAAATATGTGTCAAAGTGTCAGCACAAACTATTTTTTAGAAATAAGGAGGAATAATTAGTATTTGTGTCTGGATTTGAAGTAATTCCTGGGTGTTTTGAAGTACTTGTTTTAGACCACTCAAAAGATGGACACCAGAAGTGATCTGTTCTGGGTGGGAACCTGCCATCCCATGGTGCCAGTGGGTGCCATGTGGGGTGGCAGGGACTGCTGAGTCCAGAAGCTGCTGTGTGACATCTGGAAGAAGAAGATGGCTACAGAGGAACTCTTCCATTATTTGCTGTCATCCACGTTTGCCCAGAAGAGAGGGTAGAGTGGGAATGTAGTTCACCAAAATGGCTGATGGGCATCCCATAATTACACGGCAGCTCTTTGGAGAGTTCTGATGTGGTCACAGGGAAAGTAGTGCTGTGCTGCACAAGAGAACAGGAGATTAATTTTGCCATTCCTCCCACTCAAACTCCAAGTGATTTACTGCACCAGAGGATACAGGGGGGATGTTTATAACAGGGAATGAAGCCAGTCCTGCCACCAACTGCAGCTGTGGTCCAGGGCAGCGCACTTGGGGGATCTGAAGAAAGAGAGTTCTTCTGCTTGACTACGTGACTTGACTTCTCACTCTCTGAGAAAAACTTCTTGCAAATGTGTGCTCTGTCTTTCTATTACTGTTCCTTGCCCAGAACATCCAAACATCTCCTTCTCAAAGGGATAGAGATTAGGATACTTGGAGACTTTTCCCTTCCCTTTCTGCTCCAGTCCCTTTAAAGAGGATTTCTGAGTAGTCCCATTGTAGTGCAGTGTAGGATGTCTGCTTTAACACCTTCTGGGCTCTTATTCTCTTTATCCTGGCTGCTAAAACAGTTGATTTCGATCATTTATCCATTGATCACACAGAGGTCAAACTTCCACTCTCAAAATATTGAGTCACCAGCCTGGCTTTATGTATTATATATAGTTGTCTATATTAAATCTTCCTCTAAGTATTTTGGGAAAGGTTTCCAAGATAGAAGCTCCAAGAATATGTGATGAGGAAGAGTTCTTGATGTGCCCATTTCTTTGCTCCATTTTGTACAAGTCCTAATTACACTGGTGGGTCTAAATGAGCCACTGTGTGCAGCAGCATTCCTGATTCTCAGTTCTTATCCTTCATTTTCTCAGTAGATTATAAATGGACCAATAAATCATCTCTCTGCTGAACTAAGTCTTCATTATAGGAAACAAATCAGCAGTGAGGCAACTTTTGGGCATGAAATAGTTTCCTTTAGGAATGATATTTCAGTAGATTGATGTTTCCAGGGAAAATCTTTAAATTTCCCTTAACAATTTTTCCTTTGATGCTGGGCATTTTTTAAAGTAATAATTATGAAACACAGATCACAGCTTGTAACTTCAGAGCTTAACACAAGTGAAATGAGTTGAGAAACTGATATTTTTGATAATACTCCATTTTAAAAGCCTGGTTTAGAGATATCTGAAATCTGTGAGAGTCCCATAATGTGATTGTTTAAAGGTGTATGTCACTAAGCAGGACTTAGTAATTTTTTCTGTAGTTTTGTATAGAGGCAGCTTCATTGTGTTTTTCTCGTTCTCTTGTGAGGAAGGAAACTGTTTGCACTCGGTTACTTTGGCATTTGACTTGGGTTCTGCAGAGGTGCTTCTGTAACCAGCTGTAATCTCATATTTTCTGCTTCTCCTGTAACCACATCTGTACTTTCCTTCTGACTGGCACCACTCTCCTTAGCTGCTCCCATGGTAAAAGGAGACTGTCTCAAAAGACTGCTACCCTTGTTAAACCCAGTTTGTCTTTCGATTAAGTTTAAGCAACATTTTTTGTGAGCATCTATAAAATTAGGATTATCTCTGAAGATTTTTGAAAATAAAAAAATTAATTTAAATTAAATTAAAAGCCCCAACCCTTTGCCACATAAATTTGATGAACACTATTTGATGCTCTTTTCTAAAGTTTGTTCTCTGGACTGTTATTTTCCCCAGAGATGTGTTTTGGTAGTTGGCAGAGGATCACTTATGCAATGTTATGTCCAGCACTGAGCTCTCATGGTTGTGTGATGGCTTGAATCTGGCACTTTTGGATTTGAGCCTTTTCTAATAAACTGGGAATAAATTCATCAGAAAACAGGAAAGCATGAGGGGAATGGGATGGGCAAAATGAGAAGAAATAAAAGCCCTAACCCTCAAAAAGCTGCTTAGAACCTCAGATTACTCATAGCAGAGTTCAGCTTGTCTTCCAAAAAACCAAAGGTTTTTCCTTTAAGGTCCCAGTAAAGAAGGAGAAGCAAAGTGAAAATGTAGGTGATACAAGACAGAGATGAAGGAAAATGAGGAGATATTTCCTTACTGCACTGGCAATATATTTCCAAGAGAATAACTCTTCTTTTCCATCTCTGGACTGATCCCTCCCCAGGTACCTTGCTGTGCAGGATGTCTTAGTCCTAAAATGTGCTCAAATTCTCCCAGCCTTGTCTCGTTGGACCAGCAGTGCTGCCTTAGGAGGAACTTTAAGTCCTAAGTCTCTCTGGGCTCTGTTGCACTCCTGATGTCAGATTCTGACCTTTTTGTTCTTGGTCATGTTGTTCTGTTGGGTTTTTGCTAATGATTTGGGTTTGTTGTTTTGTTTTGTCTTTTTTTTTAATTTTTAAGGAGCAAGGCAGAAAGATTTCCAGCAAATGTACTTAATGTCATTTTATTTGGCAAGCAGTGTTGACTTCCTTCCTTATCCAACTGTGCAAAATTGAAAAGACAGTTGTAAAAAAAGAGTTTGATCTTGGAGATTTTCCCTGGACCCAGATATTTAATGCAAAATTCTCTGGAAAAAAGGTTTATTGCTCAAAAGCCTATTCAGAGAAAAAAATCTTTTTGCGTGCTGCAACTGCTGGCATGTCTTGCCTTTTTCACTTGCACAATTAATCCTACTGCATTTCTTTCCTTGGCAGAAAGATTCCCAGTAGATGCATTTAAGCAGCCCAGTTACCCCTTCCGAACATCAGATACAACCAATGGATTTCTCCAGCCTGAACTGGATGTTTTTGTGTTGGATCCAGTGATGCCAGAGATGGGGAGATGCCCAAATGGAGCCTTTTGCTTCCCTCTCCAGGGGTAGCTCTGGAGGTTTGTGGCAGCAGCTGGTCACCTCCTCATCTTGGCAGGCTCAGGGAAAGCCAAGCTCAACCTGCACAGCCCTAAGGGTGCCCAGATGAGCACATGGATGTGCCCGCTTACTTCCATTATAGTCTCATCTCCTCTTTCTTTCCACACTCTGCTGCTTCCCAGATTTTTGCCCTCGAGGCACCTAATTTGCTGCTAATGTTGTTATAATTACAGCTAATTGGAAGAAGAGGAGGGAGAAGTGTGGGGTTTGCCACTGGAAATAATGACATCTGTAGGGAGAGGGAGGAAAATATGAAAAACTGAAAAAAATGGATTTGTGGAGGTCTTCAGTAAAAACCAGACAGAAAAAAAAAGTCAATTAATTGACAACTTAATTTTCCTGGAAAAAGTCCCAAACCCCTAACATTTTTGGTATTAGCATGTCCTCAGTGCATACATTACATGAGAAATTATCAGTGCTTCCAAGTAGTCAAGACAGATTTAATTAGCAGCTTGCCATCCCCACTGGGAATGAAAATGTGATTATTTTTGTCATTTTTACTGATTCAGCTTGATTTCTGCTACTGCAAAAAGGCCATTAGCACACTTCTGATTCCTAACTCCAGAATATGTGAAGTTAAAGTGCTTTTAGAAGTCAGCTTGAGCTGAAGATCACAGAACGTGTTGCAGTTCTTCAGAGTACAGGCAGAAAAGTCTCTTGGGAAGAGGAACAGGATATGTGATTTAAACAGCTGCAGGGTTTGATCATTTTATTTCTATGAGCAAACAGATTAGGATTCATCATTTCTAATGTTTTCTCTTTAAGTGAAATACTGACTGCACTTGTGCTTGTGATACCAGAGATGTGTTAGAGCATTTCCAAAACCTTCTGAAGCTTCAGGAGGCATGTGTTGCACCAGCAATGGCATATTTCCTTTCTTCAGTTTTGTTTTATTTTCCTAGCTTGAGTGACTTACTTTCAAACACATTTTTGGACCACAAACACCTGCTTAGTCATGGGTATTAATTATTCCCTCTGTCAGATTTAGCTGCTCTCTTGGGTGCACCTAATGCCAGTGTACACCTCTGAGCACTGCTGAATGTCAGCTGATCTTTTTAGAAGTCTGGAAAGATTTTACAAGGGGGTTTTAAGCCATTAGACCCTACTGTTTGTTCTGTGTCAACCATCAGGATTAGAGAAAGGTTGAGACAGAGACTCCTGGAGCACTCTCTGATATCCCCACTCTCTTTTGCTTCTTCACTCCTACTGCCACTTGTATTGGTTTGATTACAGCCTTCTAATGAAGTGCAGTGCTGGCTTTGGTGTGTGTGTGTGTGAAAGTGTTACAAAATGGAGGAAAATTACTCCTAAGTGAGTTGTATTTCTCAATATCACAATAATTCCCATTGATTTTGCTGTTGCAGATTCTTCCCTGGAGAAGGGAGCCCATCGCTGACAGCCTCCGGCCTGGAGAAGTGTAAACCAAAGGCTGCAAGGGAGTCTTGCAACTTCATTATTCTGTTTTCTTCTGGGGTTTTTTTGCTCCTAGCTCCTTATCTCTTCAGTGCATGTGATTTATGCCTGGTAAAATCCCTGTGAGGACAATAGAAAAGCAGCTCATACAGGCTGGTGATCCTCAGGATCCAGTTAAACTCTGCTGGGAAGCGTTACTGCCCTTTGTTCTGAAGATGCTGTTTGTGCTGCCTTGTGTGAATCTCTTTAAAAGCCTGATGAGAAGAGATGCAGTTCTTGCTGAGGATTCAGACTGTCACATCTGGTTTGAATTGAAGAGCTTGCAAGCCCAATAGTGGTGTGATATTTTTGTTGTTGTTGTTTTCATTTGGGAATGATGAGGGTTTTTATTTGAGTCCAGGGAATGATTTGTTGATTGATCACCTTGAATTCTGTCCTCTCCTTGGTTGGTAAAAGGGAAATCTGCTTCATTGTTTAAACTCCTTTGTGTAATTGTGATCAGGGTAACACCCATGCCAGGCCAGGTAAAAGGTACCCACTTACTTTTTTCAGTCAGGTCAGATCTCCTTTTATTTTGGCTCTCAAATGACATGTAAAACATAATCACAGCGGGGGGGTTTCTGTATGTACTTATTTGTATTGCAAGAATTTTAGCAGAAATATTGAATGGGTTTCACTTCATAGTGAATGTGGTTTTATATTTCCAAATTACTCTTGTAATGAATCTGAACATCATCATGTAAACTCTAACCAAGAATAAAACCTGTTTTTTTAAGTGAAATTGTATTTAGACGGTAATTTTTTTCAGAAAATTTTGATGGATGAGTGTCCAGCAAACATTACTTGATAATCTATGTGCAAGATTGTCTCTTCCCTTCAGGCTTTTAAGAAGGCTGCTGTTGAGAAGCAGGTATCCAAACCTGCTGGGACCCAACCTGAAAGAAGAAACAGATTTTTGCAGGACATGAGATGTCCTGCCTGCTTTCCTGATAGCTCAGGAGTATTTCGTGTGGATTTAAGTTCTGACACAGTTTTTTGAACTGTGCAAAGGCAGAGTCATCGGCTACAGGACAACCTGAATGTGTAATTTCTGCTTATGGAACAGGTATTTCCATTCCTTTCAATATTCAAAGGCCTGTGCATAGAAATAATAACCTTACAGTATTAAACATGTGCAGCATTTGATTCTGGGCTCAATGGGAATGTCCATGGGAAAGGATTCTTCTGCTTTTACATTGTAGAGGGATGCTGCTTCTGCCAGCAGGGATGAAAGAGCTGACATTCCTGACTTATAGTACCGACTCAGGAAGAGCAGGAGCAAAACACTGAGCGAGGCAGCCTCCAGAGAGAAGTTGGGTTTGGGTGAACTATTGAAAATTAGAGTTTGACTGCAACCTTAGCTCCACAATAGACTCCCGAGTCTCTGCTAGAGAGAGCGGAGTTTTTATCTCTGCATGAATTTGGGACTGGCTTGCAGACTCTGCAGCAGCAGATAATGTAACCAGCAGACAATATAACCGCGCTCCTCCTGATTAGCGATTTGGCTAATAAGGGTGAGATCATGGAAAATGCTAATGCGCTGCCTTCGGAAAATCCAATTAGAATGTAACCTCATTCAATGGGAGCTCCCAGCAGGTGACCAGCGCTGCGGGCAGAGCACCCCGCGCTCAAAGCCGCCGGGAATCCCGGGAACAGACGCGCTCTGTGTGCTCGGTGTGGGGGCAGCCGCCCCGCTCCATTCAGTGCCGCTCTTTTCCCCAGCCATCCTTTTCCCCAGCCATCCATCCTTTTCCCCAGCCATCCATCCGCGGAGGTTTGCGCCGGCCATTCGTGGCGCTTGACTCATTGTCTGACCGCGTTAGCTGGCCCGAAAGGACGATTCAACGCGAGCTATTCACAGGGAGAAAATGGTGCTTGCAGGGCCATCTTTATAGTCGCAGGCTTTTAATGTTTGTCAGGCTTGGGCTCAAGACTGTAAACTTTGGCTCATGCAAATCCTAATCATGCCAAGCGTGGGGTATTCCTGGTGATGTATGCTAGAGAGTTTGTATCTTTTAAAATGCACATAAAATGCCTGGAAGTTGCTTTTCTACTTGATTTTCTTGGAATGATGTATGTTCCCCCAGTGCAGGTGCTGTCATCTGTCTGAATTAGCATTGCTGGGGTCAAACACCCCCAAAGGAAACGCTTTCTGCAGTGACCTAGACAACTCTGAGGGGGTAAGTTAGTTAAAATCAACCACAGTGTTCTTAACAGGGTTTTTTTTTCTTCCTCGAGCTGTGCCAAAACTGGATATCAACACTCCCAGTTCTCCCTTAAAACCTTGGGGTATTTGGGGAATTTTTATCCCTTTTTTTTTTTCTCCCTGTGGAGAAAAATATATATAGTCTCATGAATTATAGCAAGAACACACCATCCATGAAAGCATTTTCTTCTCAGATGAAATGAACTGTGTAAAAAGCAGAGCTAGAAATGCACAGTGAACACTGTGGGTGAAATAATGCTTTTACCCTTTGGCTCTGGGTCCTCACCCCCAAAGACTTGCACTTCATTATCTTCACATCATCCTTGCAGCCTCCTACCAGCCATTGCCCACTCATGACAGCAGGTTCTGGGCAGTCAGGATTATGGGGTGCCCAGCATTTCTGGTATTCATCCCCTCTCTCTCTTTCAGTAGTCAAGAATAAAATGAGGAAAGCAGGTGACGTATGACCATGCCATGGGTCAAGTAATCTCAGCTTCTCCCTATAATGGATGGGGTATATACCCTGAAATTCTACCTTGCCAATAGCACCTTGTGCTGAGATGAGAGGGTAATTCTAATCAGGTTCAAGTTCTCTTTCTTATTAAAAAAAAAAAAAAAAGTAATCCTGAAGTCTAAAAATGGTTTCTGTATTTTAACTGTTGTGAGAATGACAGAAGAATTTCTCTGATTTTTGCACATGCGAGTTTAAAGGTCTGCAAGACACCATGGGGTGGAAAGCAGTTTTCTGATTAATAAAACACTTTCCCCCCAGGAGCCAGGATGCTGGTTAATGCTGTGTTTTCACTTAGAGCAGCAACAGCCCTGCTTCCACCTGCCCTATAAAAGGGCAGCACCCAGGTGCTTCCTGTCCAAGGGCTGCTGTTGTGAGAGCCCAAGGCCCACGCTGGCCATGGGCTGGGAGTGGTGAGAGCAGGGCTGGGGCAGCCAGGAGAGGGGACCTGGTGGGTTCCTCACGGTCCGGTGATCAGTGCAGGAGTTAAGACCTCTCAGTGAGGTCTTAGTGAATCTACAGTGAGACTGTAGATTGCAGCTTTGTTCTAGTAAGAGATACCAGCCCAAGGAGGGGTCTGAGGCTCTTCCCAGGCCTGAATGAAAGGATTTGGAGAAGGGAAGTCTCATGGAGTGAAAGCAGGATGTGTGCTGCTAGTGTTTGTAGCACATGACCTGATGGATAGAGAAGTGACAGCTCTGGCAAATGGTAAAGCTCCTTTGTTGGCCTTTTGTCATCTAGGTGGTTCCTTTAATTTAGTTGCTTGGTTTAGCTGGGAGAAGAGAGGGAGATGTTTTAATTTTGTTGGAGGAAGTTTTCCTGTTGTGCCTTCCTGTGTTCAGGCATCCCGTGTGTCAGCTGTTGGTCATGTTAATCCCAAATTAATCCATTTAAAACAAAGACATTTCCCTGCAGGGCTGGCACATGCACAGACTCTTTGCAAGTCATTGACCAAACCAGCTCTCTTTTTGATTAAATGTAGCAGTCACTTAAAACTCTCACTTAAGGTTAGGCACAAAGAACCAGCCAGATTATTATCCTATGCTAAAATTTAGGAAAAACTGCACTTTTCTGAAGGTTAGAATGAGAGCTGCTCTTTTTGCAATTCCTATTCTTTTTCCCTCTTTCTCCTCAGGGCCAGATTTGCAGCCTGTCCTTTATAGTCATGCCCCAGCATGGAATCTGTAGAAATAATGTCAAGAAAAACAATCCTAATTATGGAATGGAGGGGATTAGCAATGATACCAGAAGAGCACGGTCATTGACAACAGGATATTTCAAAGACAATTCTTTCTGTGTAAGTGACCTGTTCAGACACTAAAGCAGCTTTGGAGGGGCAGGCAGTCTCCCCATATTTCCAGCTTTCTTTTAGGAAAGAAAAGCTTAACAGGAGAAAAGCTGATCTCTTCTGAATTGGAATAACAGTGCTCTCTTATGTTGGCAGTAGCAAGAGAGGGATTAGTTTATTCCCTGTTAAAATTCCCCTGTGGTCAAGAATTAACTGAGGGTGGGGATGCCAAAAAGGGGACTTGGAGCCTCCAGTGATGTATCCAGCAGGGAAGGGAACTCGCTAAAATCAGGTTTGAGGCATAAATATTGCATTAGAGTTAACTAAAAGCAGTCTCTACTCTGGCTTAGTAATGCCAGCAAAATTGGTGGCTCACAGGGTTCCTAATCCTTAATAGTGATAATTAAAATTCAAAGCGTGTGTGATGTTGTTATCTCGCTGCCCATGGCTTCTGAAGAGACATCTGACTTCCCTGAGGATTTGGGTGTGACTGGGTCAGAGCACTGGTGTTGCTTTTCTTTTCCTGGGTGATAAAATAACAACACAGTACTTGGAAATACAGCTCAGAAAGAGCTGCAATACCAGAAAACTTCCCCACCAAATCGAACCCACTGCTTTACAAGATACCTGTTGGGCAACTGAAAAAAAATTTTAAATCCTCAGGAAAAAAAAGACAATTAATCTCAATGTGCTGTTAATTTAATAGTATTCCCATGTGGAGTCTTGGTGCTACTGTCACTACTGTCACAAGCTGGCCATAACTTCCTGCTGTTCCACAGATGCTTGTGACAGGTTCTGCTTTTCATGCTCATTTCTTTGCAGCCCTTCACTTGGGAGTCACAGCACACCATCTATTTGTAATTAGTTTTCTTTTTTTTTTTTTTTTTGAGTCAAACAAGGTTTGCAGAAGGTCAAATTCCCACTGGAAAAGAACTTAGAAAGGTGTTGCTGTGCTACCAGGAACTTTTTTCCAAATAATTGAGTTCTTATTAATAGGTATTTTCACTTTGATGAATGCAAACAGTCAAGCTTTGGCATATTGTGTGGTTTTTTTTATCTGAAAGCACAGATAAGGGATTTGGGAAATGCAAACAAAAAACCTGAGTAGTACCAGGAAGGGGGAGGATATGAATAAGGAAGGAATATCCCTTATGAGTTCCTTGTTTGGTTTGCTCATATTTATTCAGCCTATTCTGCCCAAATTTGTTTAGTTTCTGTATGTAAACACCACTACTGTTTATGAGCAGTGTTTAATTCTGGTTTGGAACAGCTTCAGCTTATGACAGCTGTCAGCCTTCCTTCTTCTGAGAAGAAAATGACGCAGGCATTGCACCTCGATTTGTGTGTGCTGCAAGGGTGTGACACTGGCAGGATGTTTCATGACTCCTGAGCAGATGCCATTCATCTCTGTCCAGTCTTCTCAAAAATACTACATTTCAGTTGCAGGCATCTAAATCCCCATTAAATTCTTCAGGCTACTTTAAGCTTTGACATATTAGCCCCTGAAATTGTGCAGACATTGTGCCTCTGAAGTCCCCAGAGGGAGGGCTCTCCCGAGCCCAGACCGAGTCTGGCTTTGCTGAACTGCATGGATTTTCCTTGCTCTGTAGGAAAAGCGTGTGTGCAAAACTCAGGCTCTTCCAGGTGGTCTAGGGCCTGTATGTGCAGCTGATGGTGTTTGTGCACAGCCTGTGCTCCTGTGTGCACTTGCATATTCCTATTTCTATTATATACATA